CGGCGGCGGCCTCCCGATGCCGATGCCGTCGGCGGGGTGGCGCTCCTGTCGCTGGACGCCCTTGTTGATCAGCTTCTTCTCGACGTACTTGACGGTGTCGATATTGTGCGTGTTCAGCTCCGTCTTCTCCACCCTCTTTCTCCCTTCCTCGTCGTGGCTCACCGCTCTTATCGTCACCGTCTCTTGTTTATCGTCGATCGGCTTCATCGTTGTTGCTTTCTTCAATCCATGGTGCCAACGTTGAGTGCTTTTTATAAGAGTTTCGCTCACTAGAATGTGCTGGAACTCGAGGGTATGTTCTAGGCTTCGACCTTTCGCGGTTATGCTATGGTATCTGCCACGTGTCGCATTGCTCTTTCATGTTGCCACGTGTCACTATTAAGCTTCATATGAGGTTAATATCTGCAAAAAAAAAAAATATAATAAAAATTGTCACTTTATTTATATCTATACCTGCCTTCTAGACTTTCATTGCGCCGACTTATTTAGGATTAGGATTAGGATTCTATTTTCTTATGAAAATTTGCAAGTTATTTCATACTTAGATTAAAACATGCAATTGATTCTGTCCCATGGTGTGTTGGCTATTCTGTAATGAAGACACTAGAAAGTACTGGCAATGGTTGCTTCAAACTCGCACGGTGAATGGATCCTTCCATGTGTTAGGAAATTAATGATGTCTCTAGTATATAATTTTATGATTATTCTAATAGGTTTTGTGGATCAGTTGAATGGGCCGTGTGTCGCTCATAATCTGTTAACAAGGTCCAATAGCTTCAACTAATGAAGGTCGGTGATAAACACACTTCCACTCTCGTATAAATACACCCCCTTTTAAAAAATATATATATAAAATGTCTAAATTATCCTTTTAAAAAAAATGAAATTCTTAAATTTATACCTCCCTTCCCCGCACCCCATACTCCACACCCCTCTTCTTCCAAAGTCTCTTTCCGTTCAATGTTATTAAGCAATATATTTTTACAGTCATTCTGAATAGAAAAAAAGGATTAGTCCCACCATAACCAGCATAAGAAAGGCTCTTTTACAGTCATTAGCATTCCGGAAAGTACTTTTACAGTCATTAGCATTCCGGAAAGTACTTTCCGGAATAGTAAAATTATTGTTCATATAATTCCGGAAAGAACTTTTCGTAATAGTAACTTTAATATTATGAAAAGTACTTTCCGGAATTATGTAACAAAACATTTCCGGAAAATACTTTCTGGAATAAGAATTTAATATTATGGAAAGTGTTCTTACCAGAGATCTGCCGTATGGATGATTCTCCAAGTAAGATTGGTGAGTCTCCTTCACGGGTACGTTGATGCTCCAAGATGGGGGTGGTACCTGCAAAAGAGACTCTGATGCTAAAGTTAGTGTTTGTGTGAGTATTAGTCTCGTATATGTAATGCACGTACCTTGGTGTGATTTAGGGTTGTCTTGGGCCTTGGGCCTTGGGCCTGAGATAAGATATAATATGATTAGATAACGGACCTCGTCTGGGGCGAGATCCTCGGGAATCAGTTATGATTCGCTTAAATGCCGAGCTGATGCCACGCGGTGCACGTCCGAGGTCGGCTTGTGTTGTGGTGCCGAGCTCGGAGCTCGGCTTCGCAGTACGGATAGTACAGAAAGTATTTTCCGAAAAATTTTTATATAATTCCGGAAAGAACTTTCCGTAACAGTAAGAAGAAGAAGAAGAGGAGTGTCAGAAAGAAAAAGAAGAGGGGTGTGCAAGGTGCGGGAAAAAAGAAGAAGAAGAGGAGTGCCAAAAAGAGAAAGAAGAGAGGTGCGCAATGTCAGCAAGTGGTCTTGTAAGAGAAAGACTCTTACTTGTTCTATGGAAAGAAACACTAGTACAAAAATGACTTTTAAAATTGGGGTTTTAAAATCAGTCATAAGGTAGCCATTTTAAAAGTGACGCGGTGGCTTGTATTGCAACAGAACGACCCTTGCTGCAAGCAGAACGGTCTGTACTGCTTACAGAACGGGCCGTACTGCAAGCAGAACGGGCCGCATTGCAAGCAGAACAGGGCGTTCTGCTTGCAATACGGGCTGTTCTGCTTGCAGTACGGCCCGTTCTGCTTGCGGGGAAGGGGGCTGTGGGGTGAGGGGAAGGGGGGTGCGGGGAAGGGAGTGCGGGGAAGGGAGTGCGAGGAAGGAGGGTGTAAATTTAGAAATTTTATTTTTTTAAGGGTAATTTAGATATTTTATATATTTTTTTTAAAAATAGGGTGTGTTTATAAGAGAGTAGAGGTGTGTTTATTATCTGGCACTAATGAAATAATAAACAACCAAGCCAGGGCCCAAGAAATAATAATCAAGAAAAATTGTGATTACCCGCATAAGAGTGATCTTAATATGAAAGGGATCTAACTCATGATGGAATAATAAATAACCAAGCCAGAGTCAAAAATAAATAAAATTGTAAGAACTGCATAAGAGTGATCTCAATGTTAAAGGAGTCTAACGTATATTATTGAATCATACGCTAACTTATTGTAAATTTCTTAATATTGATTACTGAGTTCAATTTTTATAGATAAAATAATAGTCATCTTAATTATCGAATTTTTTATGTTGTCTATCTTTTTTCTTTTATGAATATGATAACTCTAAAAAATAATTATATTTATCTATCTATTTAAAAGTTTAAAATAATATTAATTATTATTATTATTATTATTTTATTTGTAATACTTTTCATTTTGTAATTATTAAATATTTTATATACTTGTCTTATTTAAAAATAAAAATTAGAGATTCAAACCCTAGTTGATTTCATTTGACGTTCATCAATTAAATCCAAAATGATAAAAATCAATTGGTTATTAGTTACTCTTATAAGTTGTTACTTCCATTTTCATATTTATCACACTCTGATTAAAAAAAAAATATATGCTGAGATGCAAACTGGTTTCTTGAAATAGTAACAAACAAGACTTATCTCTCTCTCTCTCTGATTCATAAGTCTAATGAATAATGTGTATGTTTTTATTATACAAATAATTGTTATTGGTTTAAGATTTAATGTGTATATCATGTTTTAATTTAGGGTTCTATTAGATTCAGCTTAATACTGAAATTGATATAATATGTGTATGTCTAAGCAATAATTTTATATTTAAATTTTATTATCATTATTATAATTTTTACTTAATAAAATTATAACTATGGGTTCGTCCCTGGAGTATCCAGGGCCGATACCAGTGACTAATCTCCTCGCTACGTTGGATGCACCTCAAAGGGTGGGATAGCTGGCCCCAAGATCTAACGCGGCTGCATACACAAGACAGGATTCGAACCCCTGACCTTGCTTAAGGGTGGATCAACCCCTACCGCTGAACCACACACTTGGGGTTTGCATCTTTATTTATTTACAATGGTTTATTTAAGTTTCTTGAAAATTTACATTTGGTTGTTCTTTTACATTTCAAAGTATTTTCTTGTTTTCTTTAAGATTCAAGTTCTTTTCTGAATTACAGTTACATTTTTCTAAACATTTATAGTCTTCAACTAATGCCATTTTTTTTTCTATTAATTCATAAGTGTTTAGTTCCAACATTACAATCCCATTTAATTTGAATTTTCTTCATAGAACTTAAATCAAGTTACACTTAGTATTTTTATACCTAATCTAATTAAGAATCAAATTCTTTATTTTAATTAAGTTCAAATTAAATACTATATCTAAAATCACAAGTTAAGATCATTGTCAAATTCAATTTTATATAATCTAATACTAAATCTCATTCGCTAACTAAAGTCTCTGATAAAAAATATTTTATTGGGTTTTTAACTTCACTTTGTCTTTAAGTTGAAAGCTAAACATATACACCTCTAATTTGACAAAATACCTACAGTTGGATCTTTGATTCTAAAAAGTCTCACATAAAAATATATTTGTTAAAATCAAAAAGTAAAAAGTCTCATCTTTGAATTTAAACTTAGAAACCAAAATACATATAACGCCCGAAATAATTTTTCACTAATTAATTAAGAGTTTTTTTTTACACCAAGTAATTAAGAGTTAGAAAAAGTGACCATCTCGCTTTCTAAATTGTTGATTCTTAGTATAATATATGAATAAACGAGTAAATTTTTTAACGTAACAACCATGTTATATTTTCTAGTATAGGCCACGAATTCGAAAACTTGTCCATTGAATTTATTCCTTCATTAATCTACCTGATTGGTTTGGCTGTAGAGCTGGAACCATCTTTGAAAGTATCAATGTCATCTTCTGTAATCTGTCCCTTTGTTCGAGATCTTATTGTCAAGTTGACCTTCTTGTTATTTTTCCTACTTTCTTAATAAGATTCTATGGTGTGAGGGAGACGTAAATACCATTTTCGCGTCCCTTTGCATGGTTCATATAAAATTTTGTAAGTAATGTTTAAAATAATTAAACTAACACTAATTCTCTTACAACTTAACACAACGGTACAAACTTATTATAACAAGAGTAAGTCCAAAGTATTAAACCCTTTTACATTTTTAATGTATTGACGGATGAATTGTCCATGAAGCATACTCCAATGTCCAATGCCTTGCGAGGTTGTAACAACCAACAGGCAAAAACAAACCATTACCATGAACCAGCCAACAGTGTTCCCAATGCGAACAAGATTTTTTGTTCTCATCCATTCAGCAAGTGTGTACATTACAAGCATATATATACTCCTTAAAATACCCCAAATGTGTCCGACAGAGTGAGACGACGGAGAAGTTAAAGAAAGAAACAAAGAAAAAACGCACTCAGGTCGCATGCCAACTACCCCAGCAACCCAACCCAACAAAACACAACCTATTTGGTCCCACCGCGCTTCTCAAACGCGGAATCAAATACGGGGTTTGTTCTGTTAGGTTTTTGACCGCTCAAAATAATCACCTTTTCAACTAAAATAAAGATTTTTACATTAAACTAACATTGTTTGTTAGAATTTTTAAATTTATTTTATTTTATTTATAATTATGTTATTAATGTGGAATATCACCAATTTTATCAATAATTTATCTTTGTGGAGAACCAAATTGAATACTAAAATGGATATATTTTCTCAATCATGTTTTTTTTATATTCATAATATACTTGAATTCAAAATTTTGTTTAAAAAGTAAGAATAAAACTCATTTCTACTTAGTACAAGAATTTGTTGGTAAATTATATTATTATTTTAGTATAGACTTAATGATAATTTTGTTTAGATTCATTTTGATCTTTTATTTTTAAAATATCCATTTTGATATTTTATTATTAAATTTGGGTGGATTTGATTATTTTTTAAACAATGATTATTTTAATTTTGAGACATAATTTTAAATTTTTTTAACTAATTCATTATATTTACTAGTATAAAAATTTATTGAATAACCAAAAAATATTATCAATATAGTAAAAATCACATAAAAATAAGTTAAAAAAATAAATATTAAAAAAATAATTTTATACTATTTTTTTACATATTTATGAAATATAATTTTCATATAATTTTTACTGTGTTAATAATCATTTTGAATAGGGACATAAATTAAATTTTATAATTTTTATATAAATAAATCTAATATTATAAGTATCACGTCTTAAATTAATAAAAAAATGATTTAAAATTGTTAGAAAATTTAAATTAATTTTTATTTAAAAAAGATCAAATTAATTTAAATATAAAAACTAAAATGTTAACCAATTAAAGACTAAAATAAATTTATAAGATAAGATAAAAGATTAAAAAAAAGTTTAATTTAGTCTATAGTAAGTGTTTTACATAGGAGATAATTAGAAATTTATCTTTAAGTTTGATTTCCAACACAATACTTCAAACTTTCAAAAATCAATGCTTCCATCCTTATATTTTACTCTTGTACGACACTTCAAATTACTTCCAATCATTATGATCATTTGATTCTCCACACCTAACCACTATGAATTTATAGACATTTAGATGCCTTTGATTTCAACTTATACTACTGTTAAATATTTCGTTTCAAAACTATTAACTTTATAATTAATATACATATTAAGGAAAATTTAATAAATATTAATATATTTAATTTAAAATACACTTATTAATATATTGTTGTTTGTTGAAGTTTTTTTAAAAATAAATTATAAATACACTGTTGTTCATAAAGATTAAATATATATATTTTTAAATAGAGATATAAATTAAAATGAATAATTAATGAAATTTAAAATGTCTAAAATACTAATGATATTAAAATAAAAATGTTGAAAGAGAGGTTGGTAGATTAAATTAGTTATATTGAACATGAATTTGTTGGAAGTAAATTTTTCTTAATGAATTCATACTAAGATGAGGAAGTGAGCTAAAAGGGCCAAAGAACAACAGTGACATCTCCGCATACTCCAATGAAGGAGCAATTACCAAACCCAATCACCCTTTAACTGTCAACGTAATATCCACGTTCCCCAAAAACCCCACAGACCTCGTTTTGACCGAATTCTCTTTTTCTTTCGCTTTCTCCTCTTTATTCTCTTCTGTTCCCATAACTCACTCTTTCGTTATTGTTTCAGCCTTCTCAATCCCTCAATTCTTCTCCTTTCTCTACACCCATCACTTTATTCTCCTTCAACTCAATGCCACTCCACGGTATGTTTTTGCGCTCTTCTCTCCCTCTCTCTCTCATGTTTTATTTCATGTCTTACTTCCTTTGGTAGATGCTGTCTTTGGTTTTGGTTGGTTAGAAATGAATGACAGCAAAAGAGACAAAATTTTTGAATTTTGAAAAGTGGGTTTTGGGCCCTTCAAGCCGAAGCCACATGTCTTCTCTCAACTGAGCTTGAATGAGTCTATATTGACCTCATTGTTTTGGCTTATTCATGACCAAGACGACAATTTGGGGTTAGGGTTTTTTTAACTTTTTAATTTCATTCTCATAAGTGTGCAATTATTACTGTCAATCCATGCTTTGATATATCTGGTGTGTTCATGACCCTCTGGGTTTTGACTTTCTAATTTGTGTCAGTGGATTTGATTGCATACAGGAAAATGAGTGTTCATTAGCATTAGGATTGTTGATTAGGACAGGTGAGTCCATTGGATTGGGTTATTAAGTGTCAATGGGGGGTGAAAAGGTGAACGGGTCATGGTTCAGTACTTTGTGGCCAGTTTCTCGCAAGAGTGCATCAGATAACAAGGTAGTAGTTGGAGTTTTGGCATTAGAAGTTGCGGGGCTGATGTTGAAGGTGGTTAATTTATGGCAGTCTTTGAGTGATGGGGAGATGTTGAGTCTGAGGGAAGGGATAGTGAACTCAGTTGGAGTCAAAATGCTGGTGTCTGACAATGATGATTACTTGATGGAGCTTGCGTTGAATGAGATACTTGATAATTTTCAATCTCTGGCACGGTCTGTGGCTAGGTTGGGTAAGAAGTGTGTGGACCCAGTTTATCATCGTTTTGAATATTTTGTTCATAACCCAGCTCAAAATCACTTTCAATGGTCTGGGTGGGAGTATAGATGGAAAAAGATGGAGAGGAAAGTGAAGAAAATGGAAAAATTTGTTGCCGCTATGACACAGTTTTCCCAAGAGCTCGAGGTGCTAGCAGAGGTTGAACAGACTTTCAGGAGAATGCAGGCGAATCCAGAATTGCATCTGGTGAAATTGCTTGAGTTTCAGAAAAAGGTCATGTTACAGCGCCAGGAAGTGAGGAGTCTCAAGGACATGTCTCCATGGAATAGAAGTTACGATTATGTTGTCCGGTTGTTGGCGAGATCACTATTTACAATACTGGAGAGGATCATACTTGTCTTTGCAAACTGTCACCCACCAACTGTACAACAACAGAATGAATCCCTGCATATGAATGCTAACAATCTTAATCGAAGTCATTCCTTTTCTGTTATGCATTCTTCTGTTCATCCTTCAGAGCATGATTTCTATGGCTTCAATTCAGGACCTGTCGGGGGGAGGCCAGTGTCCAACTCGGGCTTTTTAGTTGACAAGGGCAAGAGAAAGAAGAAACAGCAGCATACCGTTCATGAACCAGCTTTAAGCAGAAAGAATCCACATTCAGAAAGCAAGCAGTTAGGACATATTGTGGCCTTCAAAGGTTGTATGTCTTCTGCAAACAATTCTCCTGTCATACAGAGCTGCATGCAGACAAATGGTGGTTCCATGCGGTTGACTGATTGTCATTTGAAGTCCATTGATAAAATGAAAACAGTGGATAACTTTTCTCTCTCCAACAGAATTAGAATATATTCTAGATTATCCATCAAGAACAAGCTAAAACCAGCTACACTTACCCTTGGTGATGCGGCTCTAGCCCTGCATTATGCAAATATGATTGTATTGATTGAAAGGATGGTGTCATCACCTCACCTGGTTGATCTTGCAACAAGAGATGATCTGTACAATATGCTTCCAACTACTATAAAAACTGCTCTGAGGGCTAAGCTTAAGTGCCATGCAAAAAGTAAATCTTCTGTTCGTCATGATGCAAACCTTGCTGCTGAATGGAGTCCGGTGCTTGCACAGATATTGGAATGGTTGGCTCCACTGGCACATAACATGATAAGTTGGTATTCTGATAGAAATTTTGAGAAGGAGCACTCAATTTTGAACGCAAAGGTGTTACTTGTCCAAACTCTTTACTTTGCAAATCAAGCTAAAGCTGAGGCTGCAATAGTTGATCTTCTTGTAGGTCTCAACTATGTGTGTAGCATTGATACAAGAGTTGGCACAAGAGGTGCATTAGATTGTGCTAGAACTAGATCTTTTAATGCAATGTACAATGAATTTTCATAGACCATGACGTTGACAACGTCTTAATGTTAATGCCATCAGCGCTATATAGCTATCATTTTCAAATGGGGGAGGCTTTGCCGAATAGTGCCTTTAATACGTTGATTCCATTCTTAGGCAAGTTGCCCCAAATTTAGATCAAGGGTTTTACATTAGATGATTTGTTCAAACTACATAATAGGGTTTCTTCATAAGCAAATTTTTTATATAAAAAAATGAGAATATGACTATTTAGTCAATTGTACAAGCTACAAGAGTGTTTAAAATAATGCAATTTTTCAAGACAAATAATTTTCGGATGCAACTTGATTTTAAACAAAAAGAAGTTTCTGTGTTACTTTGCTTCAGAACAACGTTTCAGTTATCCGTTGTTATCGAACAAATGATGCTCCGAAATTTTGATTGGTCTTTGAAAGCCGTTAGTTGAACCTTGGTGTCGTAACTGGGATCACGACGGGATGACGCTAACATTTTTATATTCAATTGAGCCGCCACCAATATTTTATTTCAAGGTAAAAACATTGGAAAACCCTTTAAAAGATAATCTTTAAAATTAAAGTTGGGTTCGGGAGTCGATTACGTGTAGGGGGTTCGGGAGTCGATTACATGTAGGGAAGGTATTAGCACCCTACAACGCCCGTAAAAACAGTACCTTTAATTAATTGCGCAAAATTATATGAATTTATAAATATTTAATTTATCCCTAAAAAACGTATGTGAGATATATTTTCTTTAATCTAAGATGCCCCCTTTTTTTTTATTTTTTTATTAGAAAATTATAGGGATTTGGATTAGCAAATGGCTAATCAATAAACCCTTCCAATAACATGAAAGATAGATTGCTATTCAATCCATGTTATTGACTTTTATTTGTTGATACTAAAATATGCTTAAAGTGTAGGACAATGAATAAGTATTATATTAACTTTTATGATTTATATGATATTAAAGGGTAGAAGTGCTACTCAATTAATATCATTAACCATAAAAATAAATGTATATAAGAAAAATTATGTTTATATTTTTATTTAAAGAAATAGATTTTGCACAAGGATCCAAGTTAGCAAATGGCTAATCAACAAATCCCTCCAATAACGATAAAAATAGAAATGCTATTTAATTAACGTTATTGGTTGCAACAGATCTTTACTCTTTAGAAAGAAATTTCATATATGAGAGTTTAAGCTAGCAAATGACTAGTCATTAAACCCCAGGACCTAATAATGTTAAAGATAAAAATGTTATTCAATTAACATTATTATTGGTCGTATATTAAATATTTTTTT